CGGCGGCAGGGAGCGGCGCCGGACGGGAGGGGGCCGGGGTCCGAGCAGGGTTTCCCCCCGTCCCTCTCCCCTCCAGGACGTGGTGGCCCCTTTCCCCCGGCACGGACCCAGCCCCCGGGTGGATCTGGCTGAACTCCCCACTCCCCCCGCGCCTGGTGCCCACGAGCTGCCCCCTTTCACCCCACGTGGGGGAAACGACCGTCCCGGTGCCGGTGTCTCGCTGCCACCTGCTCGTCTCGGGCCGGGTCCCCCCATCCTTGTCTGGCGAGAGCCAGGAATGGATCCCTAGCTGGGGCTGGGGCCGGTCCTGCTCGGAGCAGGGGTTGGACTGGGTGTGACCTGAGCTCCCTTCGCCCTCGTCTGCGACTCCCCCCCTCCTTAATACGCTGTAAGCCCTCCTCCTGTCCCGTCCTCCCCCCGCGGCATCTCTGCTCAACGGAGCAGGCCTGGCCCTGTTAATCCCTCCTAAGGAGCCCGTCCCTAGCACCGATCCTCCCCGTTGCCCTTCTCCGGTTCTTCCATCTCCTTTGTGAGGTGCGGGGACCAGAGCTGGGCGCGGCGTTCAAGGTGTGGACGCACCGGGGCCCGCCAAGGGACGTCATGATACTTTCTGCCTTGTTCACAATTCCCTTCTCCACCACCCTGACGCCGCGCTTTCCTCTGACGCTCGCTCCGCAGACTCGGTGCGCTCCTTCCTCAAGCGCAGCAAGAAGGGCCGCTTCAACGAGGAGGAGGTGGCCCAGAAGGAAGCGGAGCAGGCGCAGAAGCTGGCCGAGGAGAAGGCCCTGGCCGAGGCTATCACGGTGGGCGCCCGCTGCGAGGTGCGCATGGCTGGGCAGCCCCTCAAGCGGGGGACGGTGATGTACGTGGGTGAGTGTCGCGCACCCCTGCTCCGGCTCCCAGACCCCAGTGTCTCTCGGGTGGGGGGAGGTTGTTGAGGGATTCCCCCCGTCCCTGGGAAGTTTATGAACAGCCCCCAACCCTGCTCTGGGTCCCACAGCTTTCCCCAACCGCCCGCCGTGTCCTGGGCAGAATTCCTCTCCAGGTCCCACTCCCCTCCCTCGGGCAGCACCGCGCGCTTCCTGGCCCGGTTCCTCCCTGCCCTCAGGGCTGGGGGAAGGCACCCCCCCCCCAGCCCCAGGGGGACTTTCGTACCCCAGGCCACGAGCCGGCTGCGGACACCTGCCCCCGCCCAGGTCCCCCGACAGCAAAGAGACCCGTGTGCTAGCGGGGATCGGGTGTGCTCTGACTCGCCGCCTCTCCCTCCTCCCCGCAGGCCTCGCAGAGTTCAAGCCGGGCTACTGGATCGGCATCAAGTACGACGAACCCTTGGGGAAACACGATGGCAGGTAAGACGTCTGCTCCCCTCCCAGGCTTGGCTCTGGATCGGGGCCACGGAGGAGTCCCGTGGCCGCAGTGGAGAGAGCCCTGCTGCTGCCAGGTCCCTGCCTGGATGCATCTGCCAGAAGAGAGCAGCTTTGGATCTCGGGGAAACGTTTCTTCCCTGTCGGGGCAGAGAGGCCGTGGGAGAACGGCCCAGGGGAGCTGTGCGCTCCCCATCGGGCTGGTCTGATGCCTGCACTCTGCTGTGGGGGCTGTGCTGGTCGCCCCCCCCTTGCTGCTGTACGGGTCTAACAGTAGTCAGCCCTGACATGACCCCCGTCCCTTGCTGCGCTCAAAGGGGGGTAAATAGATGCTTCAGAGACGCCAGGCCGAGGCCGTGGCCCCACTGCAGAGGAAGGCAACCCCCCCAGTTTGTACCAGTATGAGCAGGGGGGAAATCTCTCCCTGCCCCCAGTGCAGCGTGGGGCTGAGCCTGAGCGCGGGGACAAGACCCTCCAGCCAGGACCCTGCGGGGTTGGTGCCAGAGGAGCGTCAGCGCAGCCCTGCACCCAGCGCCTCTGGGGGAGGCTTCAAACCCCCTCACCCCCCGTCCCCCAGACACTGTAGCAGAAATGGGGGCAGCCCGCACAGCCCAGAGCCCCCACAGCAGAGCGCAGGCACCGGATCCCCCCCGCCCAGGGGCTGCCCAGCCTCTCCTTGAGCCCCTCCGGCGATGGAGCCCACAGCTCCCCCGGGGTCTGTCCCGCTGCCTCCCTGCCCTGACGGCAAAGCGTCTCCCGAGATCCAGGCTCGCCCGACCTCGCTGCAGTGCCAAGCCGTTGGCCCCATCCTTGTCTGCACCCAGAGATAAGGCTCTCTCCCTCTCCATGGCAGTCCTTCACGCGCTCGCAGATGGCTCTCAAATGCTGTCAGCAGCATCAGGCCTCCACAGAGCCAGGGCAGGAGCCTGGTGGGGTGCGGGTGGCTTGAAGTGGGCGCCTCCTGCCTCCAAGGAGAGCCGTGTGCGCCCAGATCGTGGGTCGGTTCTGTCCCGGGGCTCCTCAGGGCAGTGCGGAGCCCCTGCAGCTGGGTCTCCGTGCTCGGAGCATGGGCCCCTGACCCCAATGCCTCTCTGTCTTCTCCTTTTCTCCTCGCCCCGCAGCGTGAACGGCCAGCGCTACTTCGAGTGCCAACCCAAGTACGGTGCCTTCGTGAAGCCGCAGCACATCACGGTGGGCGACTTCCCCGAGGAAGACTACGGCCTGGAGGACGAGATGTGAGGGCGGAAGGGGGTGGGGGGAGAGGCCGAGGCTGCCCCCCGCCCTTTCACGGGGCCAGCGCGGCGCCCCGAGCTGCTGGGCTCAGATCTGTGCGGCGAGGCAGAGCCGCGAGACGCAGCTGCACTCCTGCTTGTGTCCATTTGTTCAGTGAAAGATGCCACTACTCTATTAATAATATTTATTATTTTGCCCCCCTTCCCCACCCGCCTAGCGCCGTGAGACTAATAAACCTGCCCAGATGTATGTGACCTGCCCGTGGAGCAGCGGCCCGGGAAGTGCTTTTATGCTGCAGGTTCGGCTTGGGAAGGGGATCAGACCGACAGCAGAGAGGCCGGGATGGCCCTGAGCCGGCCGGGGGTTTGGCAGAGGGTTGGAGCTTGGGGCATAGATGTAGGACTCTCTCCTTGGCTCTCAACAGCGCCAGGGTCCCTGGGCCAGCAAGAGGGTTGTAGCCTTCGGGGTTTGGGGTGGGGGCCGGCTCAGCCCCCGTCCTGCTGTCTTGGGGCTGCTCTACCCGGGGGGGGCCCCCGCCCTGGTGTTTGGGCCCGCGTGTCCGCGGGGGGGGGGGGGTCCAGTCGTGCCGCAGTACGTTTGCAATAGTCCCCCCCCTTCCCAAAGGGGAGAAGCGCCGCAGCTGATGCAAAAAACACCCAAATGTCCCAGGGACGGGCTGGATCCATCGTGGGGGTGTCTCTGGACCCCCCGGGGGGGCAGCTACCATCCCCACCAAGGTGCAGAGCCCCGCGGGCACTGCAGCAGGGAGCAGGCAGCCGTGAGTGAGGCCTTGCCTGGCATCGCTTTCCCGGGGCCGGCTGCCGCGTGGTTTCCCCGCAGGGATCCGGTCCCCTACTTCGGGGCGCCCCGGCAGGGCCGGGTCGTTCCAGGTCCGCGCGGCTGGGGTTGGGCTGCAGCGAAAGGCCTCCCCTGGCTGGGGCAGCAGGCGCTCCCCAGAAGCAGCAGCTCCATCGAAACTCCTGTGCGATGCGGCCCTGCCACCACCCGGAAGGGGAACCGATGAGGACTTCCAGCTTCGCGGCCTTCTTCCCTTCGAATCGCCGTCCAGACCGGACCCCTGCACCGGTCCTTAGCCGTTAGCTTTCACCACTGCTCATCTCCGTCTTGGCCCTTGACCAGCGGGACTTCGGGGCTCTTTTCCCTTCAGCATCTCAGGCCCTGAGCGCCTGGCACAATTCGTCACTACAACCCCTTGGGCAGGGGCGCTCCCCGCAGGTTAGGATGTTTGGTGGTGCCGGGTGTTAATTAATTGGTGGGCAATTAATACTGCCCAACATCCCACTGCCAGGTCAAGCCCCGTCCCCTCCAGCCCGCGGGGTCAAGCCCATCCGCAGGCCAGGCTGTCCCCCGCC